GTAAGTACGATAATAAAAATATTACTGTAACCATTTAAAAAATTTGGAAAGAATTTTGATTTTATATTATTGCCTTAATGTTTTCCTTAGTCAAAAAAAATGTTTATATCGAAACTATATTTATAAATAATAAAATATCTAATATAGATTATTAATAAAAACGTTTATTTTCTATTCCTAATATAAAGAACAAGTCATAAAACTTCTTACTGCATTCAGAGAAATGTATTTACATCTGATGATAATGAAAATGATCTGCACATTATTAATTTATAATAAATTAAAAATTTATTATATTCATAACTTGCAGACATATTTCGAGGGTAACAACCCTCAAGGCGAATCTTTTAAGAAATTGAATAAAATCATTTATTCTCTAAAGAAAAGAGGATAACAAAAACTCGATGTACAAGAGGAAGTACAGGAAGCACCAAAGCAATAGGGATTAAATTTGTTTTTTTTTTCCTTCTTTTCAACTACATTTGATGCAGAATTTGCGATTATTGTCAGAATTTTACTACTATTTTTTGTCAATCTTGAAATTAAATACGTCAGCTTAGACGGACATAAAGATTTCTCAAGCATTGTTACCGGATATCAAAGAAGCTTAAACAAAAATGTACCCAAGCAACAAGAGGAACAAAATAATGTAGGCAGCAACTTCCTTGCACATTAAAAATGGTGCAATTCATCATCAGATTCACGAAAAGAAGTGCAGTCTGGTGCAAGGCGGGAGGTGTCAAAATACGAGCTAAGCCAATGATGTAATATTTGCTGAGCTCGTGCATTGCATTTTATGCAATTTTGCTCAACTACTTGATAATCCTTAAACTAAATTTAAAACTTATCTCAAATATCCGTTCCTGAAAAATTTCTGATCTATTGATCTTGTAAATGGTTGATCTTGAAATGTTGAATGTTGCGTGCCAGGAAACAACTTGTTACCATCCAAGTGCATTTCGCTGATGCGTTTGTTCGACCTTAAAAGGACATTAAGTATCCCTTCAGGAAGTGTATATTTATTTTGCATTGTCCTTTTGTCACAGCACATTGCTCATAAGTGCTTGTTACACAAATTTTTATGTATTTTTATATTTATTTCTGTTTTTATATATGAAATTCGATATTAATGTTATTTTTTCGTTTCGACTTTGTTGTTTTTTATTTGTAGTTCAAAGAAATCAAAATTTTGGAATCGTTGTAATTTTATATCTACTATATTATCGTAATGCTCGACAGTACTTCGACAAACAATAAACAAGTTGTTGCTTCTTGTTGAAGTTTTAGTTTACAAGATGCTCATTAAAATTTGTTCGGAGACACATAAATTTTAATATATCATTTAAGAGACTGAAACGACTTGTCTAATGACGCCCACTGTCAGTTTTCGGAAGATTTATATTGTTTTAGTAAATATCTAATATACGACCATTTGTCAAAATATGAAATCTTGTCATTTTGACACTCGTCTTCAAGTACTTTTGCACTTAAATCGCATTTAACAATGGTCAATTAATTTTCCAACTAAAGGGGTTCTCAATACCAGTGCCTAAAAAAATCATTAAGCATGAGAAGATTTTCGTGGAATACTACAAATGGTTGTGTTAGCTTATAAAGTGTGAAATATTACACATACGACAATCGGTTTTATTGTAGTTTTAGGCGCCAAGTCAGCATAAGTTCTAATTACTATACAAGTATATTCCAATATATTTATTTGTTTAAAAAGAACACAAATCTTAGAAATAAAGTTATTCTATTAATACTACTTTTTCAGAAATAATAACATATTCATATATGTATAAACGTAAACATTTGTCAACATATTCAATATATTTGAATTTTGTTAAGAGTCTTTTAAAAATATATATTAATATCTGAACATATATCATATACAAAAAGACTATCCGAAATCATGAAAATGCCAACCAATCAAAATAAATAAGGACACACATCTTCATCCATCTAGTTACTTATCCTTTCAATATATTATTTGGATCATTCTCATTCGGCATGAAGTGCAACATAAGTCTAATGTTCTCCAAAAGACATATTACAGTGCAAGCAGTGTTAGATCTTTATAACGTTATCTTTATAACACATATCTAGAAAAGGTCGGAATTGCTTATTTTCAAAGAAGCAAAAGTATAAGTGTTTTCCGCATAAATATGATATTTCATATAACCTCATAGAAAAATTATAATGGTCACAAAACGCATTATTTCGGTGACTAATTCGCATTACTAAAACCTGAAATCACACGTCCAGAACGTTTTTTGCGGAAAAACAAGGTATGTGGTCAAATTGTGACACCATCTCATTGAAGTCACAAATTTTTTATAAGCGTATTTTCAATCAAAATGGACAGTTACATTTCCAGACCAAATGCCACATTTAGTATTTTTTAGTAGACACAGTGACTTTTCGCCAGCTAGTTACGGATTTTCATTGCCAAAAATGCGACAGTTTTTATTTCTTGACATGTCCATTAAGTGAATTATGAGTTCCAACACTGAAAAAGATTCCATGTGAAAAATGGTAACAAATTCTCACAATTCAACATGTTCAGCGGTTGTGAAACGATGCATATGGTAAAGTACCTTACATATATGATGACTACTTGTCACATACCAGCAAAAAATAACTCTGCCTTATCAGGACCTGAATAGTCCCTTCTCATTTGACGTCTAACTTTAAGTAAAATCGTTTATTTTAGTATCCACGATTATTATAAAAACTTGTATTTTAACAGCATTTAGCTATTATTATAATCATTGACTATAATTATATATAAAGGAGGCTTATATTGGAAACATTTTAGAGAACCTCTTTCCTACTTTTTATTCACCAAAATTAAACACTTTTAGAAATTAACAAAAACGTTTCTTCTGGTAAATATGAATAATTCTGTACATATTTTTGTCATAATTGTTATAATTTTTATTTTCATTTGCATAATAGTATATCTAACTTAAATGTTTAGTGATTCCGTTCTAGCTCGATATAATTTTAAATTTAAATATAAAATAATATATAAGAACTGATCAGTGTTGAATAATACTTCTTCAAATACATATATCAGTTTAAGATATACTTTGATAAATTCTTTATATTTACAGTATATTGAAACTTTTCTTTGGAAAAAAATAAACAAGGAATAAAATCAGAATTAATTCAGATTTGAAAGATTATAAAATGTAAAGTATTTAAAGGTTATAGTTAGTTAACTGCACCGAAATAATTTATCATCACACAAAGCAATACTTTCAACCCTTTTGCAATATATACAAATTATGTGCTAATATCCGAATTTAAGTGTGATAAATTCGAAATTTTGAGTACAATATTTGAAATAAGAAAACAGTTTATACTTCTCATATACTTTACATTTTAACCCCAATATAAAGAAATTTGTTTACATTAAGAATGTTTAATTTAATAGGTAAATATGTATTAATCGGAGTATTAAATTGTATCCATTATAATATTTAGGAAAGGTGAATATCGTACTAGAAGCAGGAGGTAATCTTAGAAATTTTTAGTTTTAATGTCACATATGAAATTATGGAACTTGTAAGCGTGTATAGCAGTTTATAATTCTCATCTATTTTACATTTAAAAACAAATATAAAAAGTCATTTATGCGCTAGTCCCAGGGTTAAATTTCAATTTCTTTAATTGTTGAATACATTGTAATGAAAGACTGATTAAACAAGTATAAAGTAGACTCAATCAAAAATTTTTGTACAAAAGTGGTAATAGGTAAAAAATTTAAATATGTCTAAGCTAGATTCGTCAAATCAGTACACACATGAAACAAAATGTTCTGTTATTATATTAATTGGTAAAGTAAGTTTTCTAAACCTCTAAGTGCATATATTTTCTTTCAAACTTATTAACTACGATATTTTTTTTATTACAAATTGCACATGTAATATATAATATACTAGCATTTTACTCCTTTAAATTTATCACTTGGTGTTTACAATACACTGAAATTATGTCCTTTTTTTTTATCTATTTTCAAATTTATATACTTTATTCGCTGCCTCAAGATTTTCCAATTTGTTTACAAGCCATTTATGTCATAAAAACTGACTTTGTTGACAGTTGAAGCAACCGCAGAAGAAATATCACTCAAAAGTAGCGCAATATCACACGTGGCAATCAAAAATCTAAAACCAAACATAAAGTGAATATCACAAATTGTTCACTGAATGTATTTCCAAGAATGAAAATAAATTTCTGCTTTTGTGACGTAAAAATTCATAAAATCATTCAATGCGTTACTGCCGCCATTGCGTTCCTAGACGAAGGATCAATTACATTTTCGA